CACACACACACACACACACACACACACAAACACACACACACAAACACACATACACACGCGCACTGTCTGTGTCGAAAAGGCATACAAAACCTGGAAAGAGTAAAGAAAAAAACTTGTGTATATTATAATGGACTTTGATTGAAATATTTTACGCCCATAACAGATCGATAAGTAGATAAGGAAACGGCGTAAAAAAACAACTAAAAAACCCCAACAGTTTATAACAAAATAAAAACAAAAAACACACCTCTTTTAAGCAACCAAGTTTTAAAATCCTTAAATCCTAGTAAGTGAGGATCGGAGTAGGGCCATCTGCTGCGTAAACAGACATCCAGTGATATTGAACCAAAAGAGTGACAAGCCCTATACAATTGAAATTATACGATTTTGTTGCGGCTTTCATGAGGCGGACCTGAGGCGACTAATACGTCGCACCAGAGACATCCCAGGACAGAACCCAGCGTTACTTTTTGGTTTACTTTTCATCAGAAAGCAGGATGTGTTAGGGCAGCATGAATATTATGCCTAGAATGTGCAGACTCCTTTTCTACAGACAAAGACTAATAGAACAATATTTATAATAGCACACAGATAAAAGCAGTAGATCTGCCATTAAGTTCTCTGGGGGATTCTATTTATATTGTTTCGAAAAGCAATATACAGGGTGATTAAAAAAGAATACGCCAAAATCATCACGCGATACTTAAAAAATGAAAAACAATGGAAAACTCTCAAGTTATTTTTTAATGTTTTACAAGTGCCCAATGTGGCCACCACCGGCAGCACTGAAAACTTCAAGCCGATATGAGAATTTCTCCCAAGCGCGCCTCAGAATGTCTCAGGCCACCATGTTGATTGTAGCTGTTATTCAATATTTCATATAATTGATATTTGCTGAAAGTGGTGGAACATATACTTTGTCTTTAGAATATCCACACACACAAAAAATTCACATACAGTGAGGATCGAGGATTTGCAAGGCCAACCACAAAGAGGGAGGTCTTCAGGACCTCACCTACCAGTCCACCGCTTAGGCATGTTTTCGTTCAGATAAGCTCGAACTCGGAGATGCCAATGTGGCAAAGCTCCATTTTGTTGACAAATGCAGTCATTCGAATCAGCATGCAGTAAAGCCACTTCTTGTAGGCATATGTTAAAGACACAGATTATGTTTCACCACTTCTAGCAAATATAAATAACATGAAAGATCGAATAACAGTTACAATCAACACAGTGGACTCAGACATCTTCAGGCGCGTTTGGGAGGAAATCTTATATAACATATTATATTGGCTTGATTGTTGCCTGTGCTGCCCGTGGTGGCCACATTGAGCACTTGTAGAACATGAAATAAAAAACCTTGGAGCTAGGTACAAAACATGTGTCCAAGCTGGAGTTTTCTATTGTTTTTCATTTTTTGAAATATCGTGTTATGATTTTGGCGCATTCTTTTTGAATGTCCTTGTATTTCACGAGTGCAAGAACACAGTCTTTACAGGTAACCTCAACGCTTACGACTTACTCATATACTTGTACCTAAAGAAACAAATATTACTTTTAGAAAAATGGAAGAACAAACGGATAGAAGAGTTAGCATAGCAAGAAAGAAGATACAGCACAACAGCGATATTTATGTCGGACGTTCAGAAGGACAGAAAAATAAGAAATAAAAAGACTTATTCTTTGACTTCGTGTCTTTTTCTAGGAAAATAATGTGAACACAAATACGTGCATAACGTTTTTGTAGATCTGCGTTCTAAAAATTGAAACCTGTAAACCTGTCCTATTTACTTTTTCCTCTGCTCTATTGTCTTTTTTCTTTGTACCCTTTTCAACCAAAGGTCAAACATGGCCCGGGAAATTACGCCCAACACAGTGCTCGCTGTAAACGGATGACAGGGAATAACTGCGAGTAAATTTCGCTAACATTTCCCGGGGTGTGTGAGAGCTGGAAACTGGTTGCGGAAGTAGATAATATGGAATAACAGCCCCCCCCCCCCCTCCCCGAAGAGTAATTTGACGTGGCAAGAATAAAGAATGTAGAATGGAGGAGGTATGGAACCATGGGGTTTGGGGTGGAGTGGGGGGATTGTTGAAGTTGGGAATTTGGACATGATGGCTGGAATTACAGCTTATTAATGTTGAAGGGATGGCTATAGCACGAGTTGACCTTTTAATGGTCAGATCAAATCTAAATGAGCATCTGTTTGAGTTGGGGTTGTATGTTTTTATGAGTGCCCAGGGAGGAGGGGGAATTAGATGAAGTGCTCATTGAAGTGTGGGGACTTTTTCCACAGACTGAAGGGAGGGGACTCGGAATGAAAATGGAAGCGTGTGTGAGAGGAGGGTTTTGGAAAAGGGGGGGGGGTGTATCACTTTAGGGACGTGAAAGAATGGTTATTACTTATTGCCTTAAATGCAAAATGTACCACTTAATTCGTAATTGCGCCATTCAGGAAACAAATAATACTCATTTTCGTATCTCCCCCCACCCCCACCATCCTTTCTACACCCCTTTTCACAATCACCGGGTTTGCGCTCTGTGTCTTTCTCTGCCTCTCTCTGCCTCTCTCTGTCTCTCTCTGTCTCTCTCTGTCTCTCTCTAACTTTCTCTCCCCCCTCTCTCTTTCTCCCCCTTTTTGTCTCTGTCTCTCCCCTCTCTCTTTGTCTCTCTTTCTGTCTCTCTGTCTGTCTCTGTGTCTTTCTCTGTCTCTCTGTCTCTCTGTCTCTCTCTCTCTCTCTCTCTCTCTCTCTCCCAGAGAGACGGTGAGACAGAGAGTGATACATGGAGTGGGATGTGGAGAGACGACGAACCAAAGGCAGTGCTTAACATAGCCGACAGTTTACTGCCTGTACACTCGGTAGGAACTGGAAGTTCATCTTTATTCAGTTCGAGAGTCCTATACAATTGGCAAGATGGCGCACCACACACTGACGACAATATTGGTCATTCTGGCTTTAACACACGCCTCTTGTGAGTTACAACTTAACATTTTTATTCCATTTTTCAAATAAAGATTTTCATTTTGTTGTGGTTTTTTTTGGTCAACATGATATTTTTAGACGTTTCGTGGCAGTAAAGGTTGCATTTGAGCACAGTAACTTTTATATTGTGATTAACTTTCCCATCATTTGCTTCTTGTATTAACTTTCATAATACTAATCATTTCCCTCACAAAGTATAATGCTGCTATTCCTGCCCCCGAATAGAATTACACTGTTGTTTGACCACGGTTCACATTATGAATTACTGCAGCGATGAAAGCTTCTCATCTTTCGTGTAATACGCTTAGGCCTACTGACAGATTTTGGTTAATTAATCATGAACAGTCGTAGTCCCAGTGCACTTTTGTGTGATTTTTTTAGAACAATCTTTAATATTTGTAGATCTGTCTTGCTAGATTAAAAGAGCTACGCAATATATGAGTAATATAGAATTCTTTGCAGAATGGACTTTTAAATAAATTAGTCGGACTAGGGAATTATTTGGGATTCTTTAGGTTCTTGCTTTAAGACTTTAACCATTTACAACACTGCACCTCATTTTGTATCCCTACACCCCCCCCCCCCCCCACACACGTACACAATTTTGTGAAGAGTATTCCATGGGCGCATTTACAATAATATTGTAAGGTATTTTCCCACGTACGTGTATTCTCAAGCAGCCATTACGTTTATGAAAGAAATTCTTGCAGCCTTCATCCGAAAGGTCTTTCAAGATGACCCAGTATTAAACAAAGGTGGCACAAGAACTATTTTACATACTTTTGTTTTCACTTAGATGAGATATTGCAAACAGCGGATTTATTTTTACCTTATAGAAAGACACATTCTGCTCGAAATGTCCTGGATGCACATCTCTCACAAAGCAAAATTGTTTTGCAAATGTAGTGTAAAATATTTTCTTACATTTGAGATTGTTTATTAGATGGGTAGCCAGACCCTGCTTGTCAAGGTAAGCCCGTGATAAATGGGATACAGCAAGACGGAATCTCAATGAACTCAACTAGTTTTCTCAACCTATATTAGAAGACAAGCTTTTGTTGGTACACTTTTTTCGTCGATAGATCAACTATTCCTTGTTCCTGTCTTTCTTTCCACAGTGGCATTTTCTTTTCGTGGCCTAGACAAGCGCGCTTGTTCTGACTCGATGGCGTGCTTGGTTCGAGTCCCGATGTTGGTCGACCTGATAGAGAAAGATTTTGCAGGGGCGCTCCTGCCACTGACCTACGAGCCAGTCCTAGACTTCCTGTGCGGGTACGTACACTGCACTGGAAGATAAGAACGAAGAGAAAAAGCCAATTTTACCATCTTGTAGAATGTATCTTAAAGATATCCCAATGCCACCCCCCACTTTTTTTTTCTTTCAAAGTTAAGGTTGAACAAAATATCTTCCACAAAGGGTAACGAAAAAGTCAATAAGTACAAGATTGGTCTTATACTAAGCACGTTACAGACTAAGTGAACAAACTGTTGTTGCCACAGAAAACTGCCTAATCAAAGGAGAGAACCCCACAATCCCCGGCCTTTTCATAGGCTGCAACAGTACTTTCCCTTGGGTAGATTTAATTCTCTCTCTCTCTCTCTCTCTCTCTCTCTCTCTCTCTCTCTCTCTCTTTCTTTCTCTCTCTCTCTCCCTCTCTCGCTCTCGTTTTCTCTTCCACTCTCTCCCACCTCTCTCCCTTGGTCTTATTTTTCAACATTTTTGTCTGCTCTTGAAAGGTTGCAAGAAGACAGTCTTCAGAAGCTTTTGTTTCTCACTAGCTCAAGCTTAGTTTTCATGTGACTATTGTCTAACACAACTTCTGTTATCACAGCAGATCCGTCCTACCTGCTCCATTTTCTTCGTATATTATTATTTTTTAAAAACTTTGCATGTCTCGACAACTGCACCTGAACCGACCCTATTTTAAACATGAGAGATTGTCCAAGCTCTTGTATTCTCAAACCTTTCAAATTTGTAATATCGTCAATCACCAATACTATTATTATTGCTTTTCCATCGTTTTTCTTTTCAGAAGAAAATAGAAAATATAGGAATAGAGGAACTTTTGGATAGTTTATGAATTGTTGAGGTGGGTGGTTGGTGGTGCTCTGGTGTGGTTTGCTTCTTCTTTCGTATGAAACATCTATGGTCCTTATCCCCTCTTCTTCTTTTTTATGTTTGTTACTCTCGTGTAACAACTCTAATCTTCTGGCGCTCAAATTATGACCTTATGCAGTTGCGAGCACAATAAAACCTCTACTAAAACAAACTGAATGTTTGACGTGGTATTTCCTACAATAAGATTCCTTTTCGTCTCTAGAGGAAAACACCGCGACGGCAATAATATTTGTGCAACCTACCTCCTTTTCAGTATACATGAACATTTATACAAATACACAAACGCATACGCACACACACACACACACACACACACACACACACAAACACACACAAACATACACACTTTCCCTCTGAGACTGTCCCAGGCTTCCGGAGGGCTTATTTCTTCTCTACAGATTCCTGGCTAGCCTTTCAGAATCATGTTATCCGTATTGCTTTCGTGATAAGAAGTCCAAGCCACTAATCAGGTCTTGCCAGCTAATCCTGCATTAGCCATGATCTGGCTGGATGCAACTTCAACAACATAGTGCAAGTTGTCTCTCTTTTTTTTCGTGCGTGTTCATAGAATTCAGTCTTTTCTTCTACATGGGAGACCTGCTCCAGGCAACCAGAACTAATCTCAAGATTATTCCTTCCAGATATGGAGTTTTTTTTTCCTTCTCTACCCCCCCCCTTTAAAAACGATATAAAACGAAATAAATAATCAATACAATGATATTAACTATAATAAAGACACCAAGAACAAGGCAAGACAAGAGCATGAACAGAAAATATGAATGAATAAATAAAAAATGTAATAATAAAATAGACCAGTTAATAAATTAATGAATTGAAAATTAAGACTAAAAAACTAATAAAGAATATTATGTACGAGAATACTATTCTACAATTGGGGAATCCAGATCCACGGTTATTTTTTGCTTGTATAAAGTAAAGTATCAGAAAACGTCGCTCTCGACAATAATGTTTCTAAAATATGACGATATAACATTGAAAATAACATTATAATATCCAGATTTGTTTATTCATCCCCCACAATTCTCGATATGTCACTAAAATAAGACAACATATTGATAATAATGATGATGATGATAATGATACTAAAAACAAAAAGAACAAAAAAAAAAGGAAAATAAAAATAATAACAATAATTCTCCTTTCGGAGATGAATAGGAAATGCGTTCTGTGGTGGCAGATAAAGAGACAATATCACAGAGATCTCGTAAATGGATGAGTTCATCTCAACTACTATTTTTCTATTGATATAAGTTTGAACGATCTGTCTCTTATATAATAAGCAAACAACTGTCTATTAAACGTTGTGTGGGGGCTCTCGTGGTCTAGAGGTTAAGGTGTTCGCCTCTCATTCAAAGATCCCGGGTTCGAATCCGGGTAGCGACAGAAAAAGTTTCTTCTCTAAGATTATCTCCTTTCACCTCCTTTCCTGCTTTCAAACAATGTTCTGTCGTCTCCTTTCTTCTCCACTTTCTGCCCCACCCCCTCACCTCCTTTGCTCCTATCTCTGGGCTTCTGACTCTCTCTGCAGCCTTTCTACTGCTTCTCCTTGGCTCCTTCTTACTGCTGTCTTTCAGCCACACCCCTGATCTGAAGGAAAGATCTCCCCCTTGCTTTCCCTGACAAGGGCGAGAAATTTCGGAGGTCCCATGTGCAAGTTGTGCGCGTTAAATATCCCTCGGTAGCCTAAAATTGATAAGAGGCTTAGGCCGCCTCCCGGGCAAAATTCAAAATTTCCTACCAACTGAAAATGTTTAATGTCTCCCGCGCGCTCATATGACCGTATGCAGTTGCGAGCGCCGCAAAACACTTACCAGAACACACACACACAAAAAAAACAACCAACAAAAAACATTGTGTGGCCCGTGACGTCTTGCACACGGTAGAATTTTCCTTAGCATGTGGGATGCATAAAAGGTTAGCAGTCAAGGGAATGATAAATTCAGTTGTGCCCGATAGAATAGGCTAACAGTAACAAGGTCACATTGCTCTCAGATCCTTGACACACATCTACATTCCTTGAATCTTTATCTGTAACAGTCACACGTTATAATAATTATGTACGTAACACACTATTGTCCACTATCATGCGCACCTTTTTCTACCAATCAGATGGTGTCAATCTCATGGAAATGGGCAATGGTAAAAAAAACCCCCAGATTTGTTCTTTATTCCCCCATGTCCTTGTCGTTCTGTGTTGGCAGACAACGGGAGAACATCACGGGCTGTCTGACGGACGTCCACTGTGAGGAAACAGAGCACAAGTACACTGGAGGGGCGGTCCTTGAGCTGCTGGATTATGCCTGCAACAGTGGCAGGGCTGGTAAGTCTTGCCACCCTAGAATGACAAAGTCCTGACTTTTTTTTGCCGTTTTGAGTCACTATGACCATGGGGTCAGAAACCAAATCTAATGTTTTATATCCCCTGTCAAAATCGTAAGATTATTCGGAGTCATAGTCAAAATATTTAAAAAGTGCATTCGAAAAAGTTTGACATGTTTGACGCCAAATTTCATACTGAGCAGATAGAACTTGCACATTCTAAGGAGTCAAAGTTGTTCTGGAGACTGTCCTTTCGGAGATGGCTGCTGCTAATTTTGAATTACCCTAGTCAGTTGTTTGGACTCCCTGTTCAAAGCTGAGTTTCAACTGTTCGATCGTTTGTGGGTTGTTTCTTTAGACCCTGTCTTTAAAAAGCAACTCCAAAATAAACACTGCACTTTGAATTGATCATCTGTTTATTTTCATACACTGTTCAAAGGAATATCAGTGTAAAATAAATTTGTTCTTTAATGCACCAGTACACATTATGATTACTTTTTAAGAAGTTACAAAATGTTGCATTTTTCTCAATGTTGGTTGAGATTATTATAAAAAATTGATATTTTTCGGACATAAGAGCAGATTTTCTTCTTGGTGATAAATCTGACGTCCCTGTGATTGAAATTTAATTGTTAAGATCTAGTTGAACTTGATGCAAAGGTGATCAAGTTATTGCTCTTTACATGTGTCATGGCAATTGCGAGGAGCTGAAATTAGAGGGGTTTTTTTTTGGGGGGGGGTGTACCTGTAGCTTAGATGTTGTTGTTGCTGTTAATACGCTGGGCTACGGTGTGGTCGGTGCAAGTTTGAATCAGAAATGGAGCATTTTTTAACCTATTTATTTCTTGAAGGCTGGGGGATTTTCCTGATGGCCAACCACCTTTGTTGTTTGTTTGTTTGAGAAAAGAGAAGCACATCGACATTTAGTGCTACAAAAAGTAAGACAGACAGACAGAAACAACAGGAGGAAAGTGAAGAAGCAGGATCCTCCAGTAGTGCCCTCCAACCACCGGCCACCTATGTTGATCATATCGGGAAAGAAAACATGCTAACAAAAAGAAAATAGACAGCTACGATTTGTAGGTGCCAAGTACATGATTGCGGATGGTTAGGGGGAGGTTTTTGGATTCTTTGGTTGCTTGCGTTCTTGAAATTGTTTCTGTCTGGCTTGTCCCCACCGAACATCTCCCCTCCTCCTCCCCTCCTCGAAAACAACCCAAATCATTATAAGAGGGAAACGAGAATTTGCTAGATTCTTGTTATTCCAGCATGAAGCTTAATCTTTCAAATTGTGGAGCAGCATGGATTAAAATTTAAGTAAAGAATGACAACAGTGTGATATTCCGTTCTGACCCTGTACTGTTTAATTCCTTCTCTCTCCTCCTGTACATTTTCTTTAAGAGTCGCACTCCACCTGACACAAAGCCATCTTGTTGTTTTGTGTTAAAAACGAAACTAAAAGAAACCACAGTTGACACGTTTACTTTTTCCCAAATGCTGAGTAAGCGCTTACGCCCCAAGCACACTAGAAAACTTTCTGCTCGTCCAGTAGCTGCAAGTATGTAGATGAGGTCATTTTTGCCTGTTTGTCTCTCTTCACTGCCAAGTGACGTCATACTTCTCAGCCGTGCGACAAGTGGGAGTTTTCCCAGTGTGCACGGAGTAGGAGTCTCAAAATCATTCTTTTAAATCAACAAAACATCTCAATTAAAGTAAAGTGTTGTTCTCTTCAACCCAACAAAACAACTCAATTAAAGTAAAGTTATTCTCTTTAGCTGAACAAAACAAAACCTGAATAATCTCTTCTTGCGCTCCCACTGCCTAGATCTGTTGGAAGAGAGGGCCTGCATCTCCCGAGACGACTTCGAGGAAGGAATCCTGCAGTGTGCTGGGATATTGAGAATAGAGAGCGACCTCACCTTGACACAGAAGCTGGCCTGGCTGGGGGACAACTCTTGCCAGTAAGTAGAAGAGAAGGAAGAGAGAAGGACAATTTCCTCATAGTCAAGAAAGTTTTTATTTACAATTTCTAATTCCCACTTCCCTTTCTTACTAAATGTGAAAAATATATTCAATTTTCCCCAATTTCCCAACCCCTTTCATAGTAAAGGAGAAGAAAAAAATATTTAGTTTCATAAAGTCAAAGGACAATTTTAGAGGCAGCTCTTTAATCTATTGGGCCTACCAGCCTCAACAAAACTGTTGGCGAACGATTTGGCACAGTATGGCAATAAGCTTACTAAGCTCGGAATTAGGAAAAGGCCAAATGTCAATAATACAGAAAGTGATTGAGCGAATTTTCTTCCTCATTCACCGTTCTCTCTCTCTCTCTCTTACCCCTTTCTTTTCAGAATCTGCCCTTGCGCTTGTTTCCTTGGAAGCAAAAACGTCAGAGAATTTTTTATTCTCAGTTTTCTAGGATTGATTGTGGAACTTCACACATTTTTTCAGACTGAACCTTCCTGTGTTTTGTATTTCAGGACAATTGATAACATGTACAAGTGTGTAGAGACGAGCACAGAGCATGTGTGTTCCGGCCGTGCCGCTCGACTCATGGGCCAGATTTACAGAACGATCATGAGAGAAGTAGCCCAGGACGCGGAGTGTGAGCAGGACCACTTCTGATGTGTCCACCGGCTCGAAGATCCGAGAATATACAGCAAATTTTAACGTTTAACGCTGTGACGAGATATATAAGATAAGATAAGATAAGATAAGATAAGATAAGATAAGATAAGAAGAGATACGATAAGATAAAATAAGTAAAGATAAGGTAAGATAAGATTAATCTTTATTGTCCACACACTGGCACATTGTTTTGGTGTTTCATCAAACACTCTCTCTCTCTCTCTCTCTCTCTCTCTCTCTCTCTCTCTCTCTCTCTCTCTCTCTCTCTCACACACACACACACACACACACACACACACACACACCCACACCCACACTCTCTCTCTTTCACTCAAACACAAACACACACACACACACACACTCACACGCACATGTGTGCACTCTCTCACACACACATGCGCGCCCACAGACCCACTCACACACACAGACCTCTACACATTCTGTGTCACTCACCCAAGAGAGAACAAATAAGCTCTAGTGACAGCACTTTTAGCATCTTATGTACTCTGCTTTTGTCAACAAGACACTGTGAGGAGTAACACAAAGCCTTGTTTTACTCGTACCAGATTTTACAACGTACTGCTTTCTCTTTGTTTTCGGCCTATGTCACAACAGTTATGGCCTGGCTCCACCAGATTTTACCAGACGATGGTATCTAACGCAGAAATGCGTGCAATCTATATCACAAATCGGATAAAGTTTGTGGGTTTACTCGGGTTAGTAGGGCAAATTAATGGGAACACTTGTTTTTTGTTTGTTTGTTTTTTACATCAAATTGGTTGGGGAGTGGGGAGTGTTCTTTACGAGATATACCTAGTGGTTATGTGTTTTGACCACACAATGACGTGAAAATGTTATAAAAATAAACTGTACAAGAAAAAAGTGAGTTTCTGCTTTTTTTTTTCTTAAAATATATTTGCAGCTAACACACCTGTCGGCACAATCAAACAATCGTTTTGACCTAGAGAAACACATACGCAATTCTGGGAGGAAAATGTTTAATGTCGTATAGTATACTCGATGACTAATGAAAAACAAGGACACTGCAATTCCTGGCCAGTCGAATCGACACGAAGGCCCTGAGCATCTTGCTTTCACTGTAAAAGTAATTGGAAACAGAGGAAGTTGTAGATCAAGAATACACTGCTTGATAACATTAAAATGATAATAATAATAATAATGAAGATCATTTCTATAGCGCCCACTCCCGTGTAAACACATGTACGAACAATATTCACGCACGCGACACACACACACACACACACAAATATACACACTCATACACACACAAACACACACACATATACACATACACACTCAAACACACACATACACACTCACGAACACATAACACGCACATATGTGCACACACATGTACGCCAAACACACACACACACACACGCGCGCGCGCGCACACACACACGCGCGCACACACACATACACACACACACACGCACACACGCACACACACACACATCTACTTGCTTATCCACGCACACGCTTACACATCGTCACGAAATGAGCATAAAATAATATACACACTGCAATTCACAAAATACATAAATGGATACATAGTCATTTACATAACATTGTACTGAACATGAATCTACTGACATAAAAAGGATGTCATTAAATGTGTCTTTAAAGATTTTTAAAATTTAGACTTAGATGTTGTATGTCTCAAGGTTTGGGGAAGAGAGTTCCAAACTGACGGAGCAAGGTGGGCGAATGATCTTTCAGCTAATTTTTTACCCCCCTTTCTCGGAACTCTTAAAAGATACTGATCGCCTGATCTTAGTGATCTAGATGGAACATAAATCTGGATGAGATCACTAAGATATGAGGGAGCTTTGTTATTGACACATTTAGGACATAGTATTACAATTTTATATGACATTCTAGCTGACACGGGAAGCCAATGCAACGTTCTTAACATGGGAGTGATGTGGTCCCATTTCTTTTTCTTTAGTACAAGCCTAGCAGTATAATTTAAAAAACGTTGTAACTTGTGAAGAGTGGCATTTGGTATGTTAGCTCTAGTAAAGCATTGCAATAATCGAGGCGTGAAAACAAGAAAGATGACACGAGCGTTTTCAACGAGTGTTCATTCAAAAACATAGACATATGACCAATTTTACCCAATTCAAAAAATAAAATGGTACTTAAATAATTGATATGATGTTCCATTGACAATTTTGAATCAAAATGCACTCCCAGATTTTTTGCTTTATTAGTAAAATACAGTTTTTCATTTTCTTTTCTGTACAAATATGATCAATGCCTATGGGGATATGGCTTTTCTTTGGGTTACATAAAAGAATTTCAGTTTTATTTTCATTAAGCTGGAGCTTATTATAAACCATCCATTTTTTAAATGTCATCAATGCACAGACCCATGGTAGTAAGCAGGGTTTTAACATCTGATGGTGGAACAGATTTATACAACTGTGTATTGTCAGCGTACATGTGATAATTCATATTGTGCTTTCTAATCACAGCTCCCAGCGGCTGTGTATATAACGTATACAAGATTGGACCCAATACTGAACATTGAGGCACTCCAAAGTCTAGCTTAAAAATTGACGAAAAAGAGTCGTGCACAAACACAGATTGTGTACGGCCAATCAGGTAGGACCTGAACCAGTCAAGAACTCTGCCAGACTGGCCAAACGTGTATTCAATAAGAATAGTGTGATCTATAGTGTCAAAGGCAGCAGTAAGATCAAGAAGAGAAAGAATTGATATTTTGTTCTCATCTGCCTCACACAAGAGGTCGTTATATAATTATTTTCAATAGCGCAGTTTCTGTGTTATGAAATTGCCGATAGGCAGATTGATATAATTCATATAAATTGTTTTTTTAAAAATGATTCTTCAAAAGAACCAAAACAACTTTCTCCAAGATTTTTGATAAAAAGGGAAGGTTGGAGACAGGTCTGAAATTCTTGAGCTCCTTCGGGGAAAGATTTGATTTTTTGAGAAGGTGAATAAATAAAGCATGCTTAAAGAGTGATGGTACTACTCCAGACTGAAGAGACTCATTAATGATGAAAGTTATAAATCCAATGACACTATCAAGATGTGTGATGAGCAGTGGTGTTGGAATGGGATCAAGACTACATGTTTTATGGGGTGATGACATTATGATTGATCTTACATCTTCTTGTGTTACACGTACAAATTCATTAATGATTACCCCAGGAAATGTTTCAAAAGATGGTAGTTTATGGGTAGTCGTGTCAATTTTTTTCCTAATCGTGGATATCTTGTCTCTAAAGTATTGACCAAAAACATCAGGAAGGTTACTTTTAGGTACATTCGTGGGAAACTTGTTGCTGGCCGGATCTTTCTTACCAGACAACTGATTTGTTATACAAAATAAAGCTTTAGAGGTGGTACATTCATTAATTTTTCAGTTATAATACATAAATTTGGCAGATGTTATTAACGATTTCACTATGTTGTTACAGTGTATATAAATGTCCTCATGAATTTTCAGCTTTGATGATCTCCAGCGTCTTTCAGCTTGTCTACGTTCCATTTTAGATTGTTTAATTTCCAAAGTCATCCACGGGGCAGAAGGTCGATCAGTCACTGTTCTGGATTTGACTGGTGTATGTTTGTTTAGTAGTTCACACATCTTGGTGTTGAAAGTGTCTACCTTCTCGGAGGTTGAACCGTGTATGAATTTTAGTAGCTGGCGAATGTCCGCTCCAAACTTTTTATGATCAATGTCCATTTTCCGGTTTGTTATTTTGCGGTGTCTCAGTTTGGGCTTCCCTATACGAGTTATTTCAAAGGACACCACGTAGTGATCAGAAATGCATTTGTTCTTTACTTGAATTTCACCGATTTTATTGACACTGTCCGCAATGACCCAATTTAATGTGTGTTTTTTAATGTGAGTGGGGACATCAATGTGTTGATAGAGACCACGAGTCTCTAGAATAGATTTGATAGATTTAACATTAGTGTCAAAGGTATCTTCAGGTGATAAATAATAATAATAAAAAAACAAAAACAGAATTATGTAGGTTTGTGAAAACATAAAAGCAGAGAAATGAGATCTTATATTTAACAAAGAAGGGTACACTATCTGATCATCACCTCTCGAAATCGAAAAGACATGTTCAACAATGTTAGGTTATAATAAGCAGAACCTCAAAATTTAACGGCCGTCATCGATAGGACCGGGCCAAATTGGTTGAGAGCCTGAAAAAAAACCCCCCGAAACGACCCAGGTTTTTCAAAAGTCCAGTTGAAGAGCTCCACGAACTATAGGAAAATACTAGCAAGAACCAACTATATGAACACGCAGGTAGTATAAACAATAGTTGAATGCGGTTTAAAATCATAGAAGGAAAGCACAATGAACATAATGAGAAGTACACCGTCTTGAGGAAAACTGCGAGCGAGACTAAATTGATTTTATATAAACTACCTGAACAATCGGTCCCTCAAGTTAGATAGGCAATACAGAAATAGGGACAATCACACGGCTGTGACAACGTAAAATCGGAACTCATCTACAAGATAAGGAGAGAGAGAGGAGAGAGAGAGAGAGAGAGAGAGAGAGAGAGAGAGAGAGAGAGAGAGAGAGAGAGAGAGAGAGAGAGAGAGAGAGAGAGAGAGAGAGAGAGAGAGAGAGAGAGAGAGAGAAATCATGTGTTCAGCCTTGGTATAGATTGTGTCTTTGAATTATGTAAAACAAGTATCTGCTGGACAAAAGCTCGGAAGAGAAACGTGGCCAGAGACAACTGCGTAACTACCCCCCCCCCCCCCTCCCGATGAATAGTTACTCTTAGAGTGCTGTCCTGAATTTGGATCAGTAGCCCTGATGTCTGATAATTTAAAAACAAAAATAACATCAACAATATTAACAACAAAAACAACAACTTCAGAAGCAGCAACCATAAATATTGTATTCTGGTTTGGATTCAGATACCCCAACATTATATTGTTGCTTTGCCATGCATGATTGATTGTTTCACAGAACCATTCTGCCAGCCCCCAGAATTAATTAAAAAAGTGGTCGTCTTTGTTTTTGTAGGCACTGTACTCTCTTAATACAGATAAACGAGACAGAAACGCA